TATTACCACCAGGTTTTGAGCAATGGGAAGTACAAGAGTGTGTGGCACAGAGCAGTGGTGAATAACGAAAAGACCAGAATTACCTTGGTGGTGCCGAATGGTCCATCACCTGATACAATTGTTACCCCAGCCGCACCGCTGCTGCGCGAAGCTCCGGCTGCATACGGTCCGATGAAGTACATGGAATACGTGAATGTACAACGTGTGACCAGACTTCACGAGAAGCCCCTCTTGGATCGACTCAAGCTGCACTAGTTTGTTCTTCCTCTTGTCGATCGTCTGCTGCATGTCCTGCTACCATTCTTTCCACCTTATTGCTACATTTGTTACATTTGTAAACGAGGCGGGAGATATTGGACGCTAGCTGACGAGCTCCTCCTCCTCCGCTTACTAAAACTCACTGGAGGAAAAATATAGATGTATTTCTTTTTTTTTTTTTTTCCCTCGTACAACAGTGATAAATAAGTACTATTGGACTTGTACTACTTTTATGTTTTTTGTGAAAGAGTTTTTCGTCCACTTGGATTCTCCTCCCTCCCAGCTAACCTACTTTCTCTCTCTCTCTCTCTCTCTCTCTCTCTATATATATATATATATATTTTTATATATGTGTCTTCCACTATGTATTTCGAACCATACTTTTGCAATTTCGATTTTTGGGGATTTATAATACTCGTATTGGTGGTGTTGGTGAAAAATATTACTCCCTATTACAGCTAAGGCCTTGTTTGGTATCTCCACTTAATACTGAAAATTAATTTATTTAAAATTTTTTAAATTCAGTGTATGTTTGATAACATAACTTAATATATTAAGCACTGCTAAATTTGTGTACAAACTTTTAAGTGAAAAATTTTTACTAATTTTTTAAAAAATTAACTATATGTATGGCGCACAAGATATAAAGTTTTAGACTACTACTCCAATCTGCTTACTGCAAGAACAAGAATGCTTTCGAGGCATCGGATGAAACTTGTTAGGGGAAAGAGCTGTAGCTGATTTTGCTTTTATTTTGAGGCTATTATGTTGAGGCAATCTGAGTAGGTCAGAATAAGAGAATGGGACACCTTAGAAGAAGTTGGCGTCGGTGGTGTTCTTTTCATGCAGAGGATTAAGGATGAACGCATTCATCATCGTTTTCATATTCAAGTTTGAGCTTAGGTTCATCATATACGCTTTGACGGTAATTGCTAAATAAAAGAAGTTTAAGTTTAACTCTTCGAAAAGCACAAAAACAAAAAAGAAGAAACAGAGAAGGCATGCGGTTAAATTTCTCTCCGTAGAATCCCCCATAACTTATCCTCTCTAAGTTTTCCTTACTTTGAAGTTCGAATATTGAATGTGTTTTTAGCCTAATTCTCATAACACGTACGTTGTGTTTTTCTCTTTCTGTTGCATATGCCATTACTTTCATCGTCACCATTCAATCCTTCGCCAACGGTTTAGGCCTCCAACTCCATCGTAGGTTTATCACCTTGCGCTTCATGGAGCATAATAGTCTTGGAAGACTATAACGACTTGATGCCATTTACAAAGAAGAAGATTTACCAAAATTAGGGGTGAGCAAATGGTGCATATTCGGTAATTCGGTTATATGAATTTAGTAAATTCGATTATTGAACTTACAAAATTCTAAACCGCTTTCAAATTAGAATTAGAGATACCCGAATTCATTCAATTCCGTTGAATTTGGAAACGGTAATGAATTCGGGTTAACCGATTTCATTTAAAAAAAATTTGCTAAATCCTTTAATTGCAGTTTCTGACCTAATTAAAATAATAAGTATTATAGTTATACTTAAATATAGTTATGTATTATACCTATACTTATTAATTATTATCTAATTCTAGTCATGTATAAAATAATAAATATTATAGTTAAGTTATGTATTATTGTATATTTGTATTATTATAGTCATATAACAATTAACAAATACTAAAATAGTATTGTACATCATTATATATTATTATTATCATAAGTACATGAAAATACCATATACTAACTATTATTAATAGCATTTATCTATATAATATAATAATATATTAGTAGTATATACTAATAGTAAACCAATTCTTTATAAACGAATTTGAAATTGGTTATTAACAAATTCGTAATCTCATTACTTATTTCATACCATATTAGAATTCAGTGAATTCGGTAAATACCGCTTTTGTATCAAATTACCAAATACCCGATTTCAAATTACCAAATTGAATTTGAATTCGGGTATGAATTCAGTACGTATCGAATTTGTTCACCCCTAACCAAAATAGAAAAAGATAAAGACTTGATGACTTTTCTGGTTTAGAATGATTTTTAAAACAGAAATTGATAAACCTACAATGGTGGGTTCTAGGAAAAAAAAAACAAATGGAAATCTAATACGAGGAGCAAAGTTTATTATTTCATTTATATAGTATACAAGTATATTAGATCTCCAATTTTCCTCTTCATTTTTAAATTTTGACATTTTAGAATTTTCTCCGAAAATAGAGACTTTAGATCTTAAGGGCTAGGGCCTTTGTGGTTGAGAGGCTGCACCCCCAATCATATTCATCAATTTGATGGTATCTTGTATACGTGGGCAACTTCGTGCACAGTAAAGACGGTTTGATCCTCGAAATCGAGTAAATAAATTGATCTCTTCGGGGGAATTAGAGTTAATTCCAATTTGTACCATTTAACTATCCCCAAACACTCATTTTGGACCTTAAACTTAAAAATGAAACACTTTAGTCCTTGAATTATAAATTTTATCCCATTTAAGTAAGATTGTCGAGGAAGTGGAACAGTTTTGAGATTAAAGTGAAAATAATTTATGGACAAAAATAAAAGTAATTTTATATTTTAAGGATTAAAGTGGAATAAGTTATATACTTTAGGGACTAAAGTGAAATAGACTTGATAGTTTAGAGAATAAAGCGTCTTATTCTAAAGTTTAAAGACTAAACTGTAAGTTTAACGGCTAATTACTTAAATTATAATTAAAAAAAAAATTCTATGACATGCCGTACTGACTAAGTACGGCAGGTAACGTACACTTTTTTTTTTTAATTGAAAAAGCCCACGGTAGCCAATAGTTGGCCAACAATTGCAACAACCAAACCTGCCGTGCTTGCCTTAAGGTTTTTTTTTTCCCCGAAAAGGTAAAGAACAAACACGGCAGGCAATCTTCCCATTTGCTAAAGCTTTTGCAAAGGCCTCCCAATTGCTAAATTGGAAAGAATGAGCAACATGTGCTGGGAATGGGCGAAAAATCGGGTTAGGCTATTCCCTAAATTTTTTTCAACTAACCAGATTTCCAAACAAACAAATAAATTCTATTTTTCTTGTCATGTCATGCAAAAGTTTAACTTATTGCTTGAATTGTACATGAAACGTTATCACTACTTATTCTTTTTTTTTTTTTTTGTTTGTAAAAATAGTTTGAATATTTATATATTATCCATCGGCACATTTCTCACAATCTTCAGTAGCAAAATTTAAGTACGCAATTTTTCAAAGGATGTTGTCATTTCTTATTAAGTGAGCCAACGTGTGTTGACTTCTAATACTTATCCAATGGCTTAGCCCTTATTTTAATTTGATTGTTAATTTTTGTGGAAAAGTTTTACATTTTTCGTGAATATTTCTTTTACAAACTTTTTATAATCATCTTTTTATCTTGCATATATTACATTTTAAAAAAATATGTTACAGTAATTATTTCCCAAAAACTCTTCAAGAAGTGCAATTCAACTGACCTTTTAGTCTAGTTAGATATTGGCAATACATGTCGGCCAGTTGGTAAACATGAACCACTTTTTTGTTAAAAAAAAGTTGTGACTCATGAATTGATGGATCTGTCTTAAAACGTGGTGCCGAACAAAAGCAAAATCACCCAAACTTTTTATTATAAAAATATAAATAAACATTTGCTAAATGTTAAAATGGAAAAAAAATACTTAATTGCAAAAAAAAATAAAAATAAAAATAAAAAATCTACCCCAAAAAATAGGGTATAGAATGGAAAAGAAATACTTAATGCGAAGTACTACTAGTATTAACCTAAGAGAGAGACAGAGCGGACATGGAGGGGGGGGGGGGGGGGAAGGCTCGTGTTTCTATCCTACAAAACTATCCTATCCTACTCCTGCAAAACAAGTATAACCTCTGCAAACAACCGGGCAGCCATTTTTTTTTGGATTTGATCGAGGGTTACGTCAGAGTTTATTATATGGTACACCAATTATGATCCATTTGTTTTAACTGCTATTGAGTTACGTTGCTTCTAGAATGGGTGTATGGAGGGACCTACAAACCTAAAATCGGGATGCAGAAATACAACTTTCCATTTTTGACATTTTCTAATTGCCTCCTGCATTAATCGGACCCTTACTGTGAAAGCCTCTCGTACGCGAGTTGCTCGACCTAAACTGACAATCACCCCTTCTAGTCACAAACAGAGTGGCACTTTATTACTAGAAGACTAGACTAGGTACGTTTCTCTTTTGTTATTATATAAACAATCCCTTACGAATTTTTTCGGTGTTTCTTGGTTGGAGAAAATCCCCCCAATATTCATAGCACACCTTTTTTGGCCTGGAATTGTTCTCTAAAAACATGTCACGTCTCAGAGACTAATAAACATAATCTCACCTACCAGCTTGATGACCCGTCGACAATGTGACTGTGAGGGATACATCACACAACAAGTGAGCGAGCTCATTGCTTCTGATTCCCTACAAAACTTTTTTTTGCAGTTTTTTGTTTGTTAAATATATGCTCTTCCGTCTCGGCCATTCGAAATTATCATTATCTAGCTAGAATTCTAGATGAGTCCTAGTGCTGGACAAAGCTGAAAAATGAAACTCAAAGCGAGATAGGAATAAATTATTGACCAGGGAGGCTGTTATGTTATGCTGTCTCAGGTACCTAATTTCCAAACCCCGCACACCTGACAGTCAAATTCGTCCAGCGCCCGACGCTGTACATAAATAGGTACACATCCTCCGTTCATGCTTGCCACTCCTGACTCCTGACTCAAATCTCCCATCTCCTTTGCCATTATTCCAGCTTCGCTTGCTAATCATTACCATCCTGCAGAAAAATGGCCAGTATCAAAACCCTTGTTCAATCAAAAGACCTCAAGTCCCTCCCTTCTGATTTTGCTCATTTTAAGGATGCCCAAGAGTCCATTCAAACGGGACCTGACGTGCCAGTTCCCGTCATTGATTTTTCGCTGCTCAGCTCAACTAATCCTGATGAACGTGCCAAAGTCATCCTGGACCTTGGTAAAGCCTGCGAGGAATGGGGCTTCTTCTTGGTAATTAACAAACTCTGTCCTCTTCTCCATTGAACTCATTAGCATTAATCATGAATCTTTTGTACATATGCTCTTCCTTGAGAATATCCATGCGCCGCAAATGGTTTCGTACGAGTCCTGCTCGTTGTACCAATATTGCTCTTTGCATATGCTAGTTATGGTTTTATAACAAATTGGTTGACGCGCCTGAGTATCTCCATCCATGCAGGTGGTAAATCATGGCATACCGGAAAACTTGATCAGTGCATTGTTTAATGCGTGTAATGAGTTTTTCGATATGCCGGAGGAGGACAAGTTGCAATTTGACAACAAACACCCTTTATATCCCGTCATGGTCAGGTCTGGCACCATTGATGGCAATGATTCCAACCAGCAAGTCAAGTTATGGAGGGATTATTTGAGGTTTTTCGTGCATCCAGAGTATCACTGTCCCACTAAACCCAAAGAAATGAGGTAGAGATGTTCTTTCTTTTTTACTACTACATTTTTTTTTTATCCGAAGAAGCACGAGGAATGGGATTTAAGAAGTGGAAATGGGATTTGAATTCAAGACCTTTAAGTTTTTGGGTTAATCGCAATCTTAATCACTAGACTAATGCATACTGCTACACTAATTTTCTGCTCATAAAAAAAATCCTTGACTCCTCTACTATTGTTACATTGTAGTGACATTGTACTGGAATATTCTCGGAGAACCCGAGATTTGGCGAGGAAATTACTTAGAGGGATTTCACAAAGCCTTGGCCTGGAAGAAGATTACATTGAGAAAGCAATGGAATTGGACTCGAGTACTCAAATCTTCGCCGCAAACTACTATCCTCCCTGTCCTCAGCCTGAATTGGCAATAGGCATTCCACCCCACACAGATCCTGGCCTCTTGACATTTCTTCTTCAGAATGGAGTTGAAGGCCTCGAGATTCAGAATAAGGGAAAGTGGCTTCATCTTACTGGCATTCCGGGCGCCATTTTCGTCAACACTGCGGATCAGCTCGAGGTAAGTTCGAATTATATAGTTTGAACATGTAGATATTTAGGGAAAAAATTAAAAAGAACAACGTGAATCAATCAGAAAGAAGAGACTGATGTTATATACTTGTGAATTTGATGGTCATTAACAGATAATAAGCAACGGAAAGTACAAGAGCGTCTGGCACAGAGCCGTTTTGAATAACAAGAAGACAAGATTTTCCTTGGTGGTGGCCAATGGTCCATCACCCGACACCATTGTCACACCAGCTCCACCGCTACTGCGCGAAACTCCACCCGCATATGGCCAAATGAAGTACATGGAATATGTGCAGCTGCAACGAAGTTCCAGACTTAATCAGAAACCCACCTTGGAACAGCTCAAGTTGCACTAATTGCATGCCCCATATATATATATATATATATATATATATATATATATATATATATATTAATGAGCTGCTTATGATCTTTGTTCCGGGCGCCTGTTCCGTGCCTTCCTGTTCAGCTCTTCCAATGCGTCCAAGTACACTACATTTTGTGCTCTAGATTCCAGATTCCATTGGAATTTACAGTTCCTTGAAGACGAACAACTATAGAATGAAACGTGACTACAAATCAATAGGATTATACTCTATTAATTCGTTGATATTCTGGTACTATCAAAGATAGGTAAATTATGCTTTTGTTCTTGGGTAATATCAATGCTCTAAAACGTGACGCAAAAAGTGTATGCAGATGGAAGTGACTGAAAAATTAGTGGCCCAATATGTTTCTAAAACTAATAATATTTCCCCGTCTTTAAGAGATCATATTTACCCTAATTGGGGGGTGGGGGGGGGGCGCATTAGACGGCAAGAGTTTTTCTTTTATCCATTTTAGAAGGAATCAACGATTATGTTTAATTACTTAAGTCGGCCAGTGTACTATGATTCATTCCCTCTATAAGCAGTTCCATCGGAAACCTGTATTGCTTCGCAATTCTCTTTTCTGGCTTAAAATCAACCGTCGGTGAAAATGGCATAACTAAGATCTCAGGTCCCTCCCTTCCGATTGTGCTCATCTCACCTCATGGACTATCGAATTCGAATCAATTCAAACATGCCCTGAAGTTTCAATATTACCCGTCGTTAATCATTTCTCCCTGCTCAGCTCAACTTGTAGTCCTGATGAACGTGTCACAGTCATCGAGGAATATGTGCAGGTGCAACGTACAAAGTAGCAGACAATGAATAGTGACTTTTGTTCCCTTTTTTGTCCCCTATCAACACCATTAGTGTGTGGATTCTTTGGTCATTTCATATACATTTTAAGCTGATGGCTTGCTACGATTGCACTGGCTGCAATTGATTAGTGCCTCTTTCCTGACCATCTGACCCTTGGATTTCACTTTAATTACCCACAACAAATAGAGTTGACTTTATGGTCTTTTGCTTTGCTCCAGCTCCTTCAGACAGCCGCTGTATTATGACATGGCTCAATTGAGAAAAATACTATTGTTTGGATAGTGTATTATTTGAAATATTATTTGGAATAATTACTGTAGCACTTTTTGTGATGTGATGTATGTGAGATAAAAAGATAATTGGGAATATAAAAAGATAGGTTGGGAAATGTGTTTATGATGCAAGCGAAATATTATTTGGGATAATTGGGGTATCCAAAAGTACTAGTTTTAATATTCAAACTTTGACAGATGAGCATTTTTAGTCCTCAAACTTTGAATGAAAATAAATTTGGTATTCAAATTTTCAACTTTTGAGCATATTTAGTACTTTTAACAATTTTTTTTTAAATTGCTACGTGGGAGTCATGTGTCTAGCAACTATTAATAAAAAAATTGCCAAAAAAATGTAAAATATCCTTTTGATAAAATTATTAGTTCTTAAACTTAGTACTTAGTGTCAGAAGAATATTTTAATTGATAAAATTATTAGTCCTTAAACTTAGTACCTAGTATCAAACGGATATTTTACGTGATAACTTAATGTTAGAAGAAAATTTTACATTTTTTTGGCATTTTTTATACAATAGTTACCGGACATATAACTATCACATAATTTTTTTTTATAGTAATTCGGGACAAATCCGTCAAGGGTACTAAATGCGCTCAATAGTTAAAAAATTGGGTATTAGATTTGTTTTTGTCCAAAATTTGAAAATTAAAACTGCTCGTGTTAAAGTTTGGGTATCAAAACTGCATTTTTCTCTTACACAGTTTCCAATTAAAAAATTTAGCGGTGCGGTGGATTTTTGTTCTTTCCTTGCTGCTGCGTGTTCTCTTCGCATGAGCCTGATGAATTGGTGTGCTTCATCAAATAGTCGGATGAATGAGTATAAAATACATTCATGCTCAAGTAAATTAGGGAACTGGTCTTTTGAGTTTCTGTCCGGACGTTTTGCTGCAGCTGATGTACAAGAAATCTGTCTCTTCCTGGTTAGTTCTTATGTTGTTTATTATTGTTCGTATTCTCAGGCGTACATGATTATCAGCTTTTTCCTTTTCCTGTTGTTGTTGGAATGACCACTTGTTTCTTTTGTTCTTCCCGTATTGCAATGTTATTAAACTCGGACCGGATAGCGACTCAACTAAACTATTAGGTTAGGGGCCAACTGATCAGATCGATCGGATCGTTCTTAATAATTCGGTAACGTCAACGTGATATCATAATTATTTTATATTTTTATAATTTTCAAAAATTTTGAAATTAAATTCTTGGTCATATTTGACCAATCATATAAAATGTTCCAAAAATATTAGACTTGCAATCAAATATACACCTAATAATTATATATAAAAATGTAAATTCATAGTTAAAATTAGGGGTGGCAATTCGGGTCCAAATCAGGTTGGCGGGTCGGGTTCGGGTCAACCCGTCAGAAAATCTGTTGATCCGAACCCGACCCGCCAACCCGTGACGGGTCAGGTATGCTGACCCGAACTCGAAAATTTCAGGTTGACGGGTTGGCGGGTCGACCCGAAATGACCCAAAACTTAATTTTAATTTATTAATTTATCACTGTAATTTCTAATAAAATCAATTTCTCACAAAACTAATTACATAATCAAGTAGTAAAAATTTAAATAAGTAATTCCAAACCAAATCTAAAATAAATTAAACACCGTAAAAGTGTTTTATCCCAAATAAAATATAAAATAAATTAAAACAGTATAAAAGTAAAAAAAATATAATATATTATTTGTCCAAATATAATAATTTCAACTTCACACAAATTAAATAAATTCATTTATGATTAAGTAATTAATGCCTTTGAAAAAAAGAATAACTTAGGTTAGTTAGATAAAATTATTTTTATATTTATTAAATTATTTTTAATTCGTAAACGGGTCATATCGGGTCATATCAGGTCACCACGGGTTGACCCGAAATCGACATGTTTTCTTTTCGGGTTCATCGGGTCCAACCCGATTCTGATCCGAATTCCCAAAACCTCAACCCAAACACATTAATTTCGTGTTAGGTTCGTGTCGTGTTTTCAGGTCGTGTCGAAAATTGCCACCCCTAGTTAAAATATGTCCATTCTCCAAAATTACTTGAAAAATTAAATTAAAACAAATTAATGCAAGTTAAAATTACTGATACTAAATTGATAAAATCATAGGAATGAAAACATTTTAATTTAAAGATCATTAGGAAAGCGAATGATTTTGGTATTTATGCTAAGTGGGCGGCGTGTTCTTATTCCAGCTGCTTATGGTCCAACGAAGTACAGGAGGGAAGGGCTCCGAAGGTCCGGATTTCATCAGAAACGACTCTTGGAACACACTCAAAGTTGTATTAGTCCCTCCAAACCACGGGACTTGCTAGTTCCATTCCAAACCAGTTGACGAAAAAATAATTCTTTTTTTAGTTTTTTACACCACAATCTATTTATACTATGTCTCTACATATTTACACTTTAGGGGCAAATTGATTTGAACTGAATAATTATTATTCCATGTTTTAGCAAAATAATAGCAGTAATAATAATAATAATAATAATAATAATAACCAAAACCAAGGAAATAGGAGTTAAGTAATATGATAGCTAGACAACTGTGAGAAACTCAAAGTACGAATTTCATGTTGACTAGCAAGTGTTGACCAAAAAAAAAAAAAATTAACTAAGTATATTTGGGAGTTTAGTAGTGTTAAGAGTAAGCTACGACCTTACTTGAACAGGATCTGTTCTATTGGTTCGTGCCTCTGTCTCCTTGAGTTCTAAGTGTTAGGAGTATACTAATCAGAATAGTACCTTTCACTTTCTACCTGTGATTGATCAGCCGAAGTTTCACCCTTCCGCCTGTCTTTTCTAGCATGGATCTCGGCTTTGTTGAGTTTGATTAATTCTCTAGAAAAATCTCAGGACTTTTGTTTGGTCATATACTTTTGAGTGACTTAGTTTGAAAGTTCAAATTATCTCTGTTGTGAGATCTTTTATACTAACAGCTCGAGGCACTATTTAATATAATGAAGCAGGGATTCACGTAATCGCATATCATCATTATTTGCTTAGTTTTTAGAGCATGGTTGTTAAGTTCAACTAATCAAAATTAAGCCATTGGAGTTCGTCTTAACAAGAGTAATCTCCTCACGTTATCACATTAGAAAATGATTACATGAATTGCTTATGCAATCCCAAACCAGTTCCCCTCGCGGTGAAAGAATAGATTCTAATGACTTTTTATGCCAAAACGAATGGTGATCTCGATTCATTAAAACTTTCTTGTTGAGCTCCCTACTTAAGGATTTGAAGACACCAAAAAAAAAAAAAAGGGTGAAAAAGATAAAAAGCACAAAGATCAGGGGTCTCGTTGCCCTCGGCGTCAATTAAAAAGACCAACCACTACCAAACAATCATGTACTAGACTGCTAGCAGTCTTAACAAATCCATTCCCAATTCATCAGTTTCTACTCAGAGAAATTTCCCAGGCACCTCATCGTTAATTGTTGCCCTCCCAACTGAAGCTATGGCCTCATCAGTGGCGCCACTGCTTCAACCCCGAGATAATTTCTCAAGCGTTAAACTACTAGCAGAATCACCAAGCCTCGATTTCATCCCTTCTAGTTATGCTTACTTCAACGCCCACCCCCATGATTCTGTTGCTTCAGACCCTCAAGTTTCAATCCCCGTCATCGATTTTTCACTCCTTAGCTCCAACAATCCTGATCAGCGTCTTCAAGCTATCCGGGACCTTGGAAGAGCATGCCAAGATTGGGGTTTCTTCATGGTAACTGCTGCTGGATCATTCCCTTTACTTCTTATTGGTGGTTTTTCTCCTTTTGTTTTCCTCCCACTTGAGAATTTGGATTCCTAGCTACTTGGTAGGGGCAGGACACCTGAAATTCTGGATAGTCTGACTCCTCTTTTTGTTTCTAGTAGAACTGCAAAATATATCATACTTGTGCCTGGTTTGGTTTGGGTGATACTATATAGTATGTGACGGCGCGTGCAGGTGGTGAATCATGGCATACCGGAAAGTCTGATGAATGCCATAATTGATGTTACCAACGAGTTTTTCAACTTGGCGGAGGAGGAGAAGATGGGATATGAAACTAAGCATGTGCTGGATCCCATCAGGTATGGCACCAGCTTCAATACTTCCAAAGAGCAAATCTTCTTGTGGAGGGACTTCCTCAAGGTCTTCGTCCATCCTGACTTTCATTGTCCTCGTAGCCCCAGAGTTTTCAGGTGCACATGATTCTCTCAATCTCGACGACTCATGTCATTTTTTTTAGTTAAAAAAAAAAAAAAAAAAAACTTACGGTAATTTGGTCAACTAGTATCATTGAAAAGATTTTTAATCTCTAAGTTCATAAATTTGTCAAAATTCAAAACATCAGTGTGCCTCGGCAAACGCTTCGTGATTCTGGATATGCAAAATATTACGATGCAGTTTTCCCTTTACTTATCGCTAACCATTTGTCAATTTCTTAGCACCATTATAATGCTGGTACGAAGGCAAGTATTTCTGGTGAATTCTCTACCACTATTACTATTGTTTAAATCATGTGTGTTTTCGAGTGT